AGCCCTAATATCTAAGATCTACAAGGAATTCAAATGAATTAAAAGGAATAAATATTATTAAAAAGTGGGCAAAAGGCCCAGCTTGGTGACTCAGCCTGTAATCCCAGCACTTTGGAAGACGAGGCAAGTGGATTGCCTGAGTCCATGGGTTCGAGACCCACCCAGGCAACTTGGCGAGACCTCGTCTGTACAATAAATCAAAAATTGGCCAGGCATGGTAGTGAACGCCTGTAGTTCCAGCTACTTGGAAGGCTGAGACGGAAGGATCGCCGGAGCCCAGCAAGTCGAGGCTGCAGTGGCTGGGAGCATGCCACTGCACTCCAGTCTGGGCAACAGAGTGAGACTCCAACTCAAAAAAAAAAAGTGGGCAAAAGACATGAATAGATGCGTCTCAAAAGAAGACATACAAGAAGCCAACAAACATATGAAAAAAAGGTTCAGCCCACTAATCATCAGAGAAATGCAAATCAAAACTACAGTGAGATGCCACTTAACTCTGGTAAGAATGTCTATCATTAACAAGTGAAAAAGCCTCAGGTGCTTTTGCAGTTGTGGAGAAAAGGGACCGCTTCTACACTCTTGGTGGGAATGTAAGTTAGTTCAACCTTTATGGAAAGCAGTGTGGCTGTTTCTCAAAGAACTAAAAATTGAGCTTTCATACTATCCAGTGATTCCTCTCTTGGGAACATTCCCAGAGGAACATAAATTGTTCTACAAAAAAGACACCTGCACACGCATGTTTATTTCCATTCTATTCACAATAGCAAAAACACAAAACCAACTCAGATGCCTATTGAAAGTGAATCAAATAAAGAAAATGTGGTATATATATACATGATGGAATGCTATGCAGCAATAAAGAACAAAATCATGGCCTTTGCAGCAACTTGAATGCTAAGTGAACAATAACAGAAACAAAGAATGGAATACTGCATGTTCTCACTCATAAGCACGGCCTGTACGCTAGCCACATTAGCACAAGACTGGGATTGGCAGATGCTGGGCACTCCTAGGAGAGGGAGGGAGGGAGAAGGGGAGAGGCTTATAGCAAACAAAAAGTACCTGGCCCACTACCAAAGGGAAAGAGGGCCATCTAGAAACTCAGACCCCACCTTCATGCAGTCTACTTACGTAACATAAATAGATAAATGGAGGCTGACTAAAGGGGCAGCATGAGGGATGTCAAAAGAATGGAGCTGTCCTGTATTGAGCTGTGGATTAGATTCATAGGCACACTTAGGAAGAGTTTACTCACATTTTTGTGATATGGCGTTTTCCTTTCAGGCATACTGCACAATGTTGTGTTTTTTGAATTCTGTGGTCCTTAGTCACTTCTGTTTTTTTCTGTTTTGTGTTTTTGTTGAGGTAACATATACATGGAGTAAAAGGTTCATATAAGTTTATAGTCAGTGAATTGTCACAAACAAAAGAATGTGGGTAACCAGCATCCAGATACATTCACAATCAAAGACTGTGAATGTTTCTCCAGAAAAGAAATCACCAAAATGAGAGTCAGCAAACAAAACAAAAGAAAAACAAAAACCAACATCAGATTTACATTTTATGTAAGTCAGGTTGGGTCAGATTATGTTGCAGTAACAAACACTCCCAAATCTCAGTGGCTGAACATGAAGCTGATCACTTGCTTGCTCAGTTAGCTGTAGGTCTGGGTACCTTTCCAGAGTCAGTGTGTAGAAAATGGCACCTATTAGGATTCAGAATGGTTGGGTAGTTTCAATTGTTGGTGCAGTAATAATAGTCTAACTACATAGGCAATAGAAGGAATGGTAAAAGACAAACACATGATCTCTAAGAATTAATCCTGTTGAAGAATTTATGGAATAATTTAAAGTAGAATATTAGAAGAATATGTACTATGTAACAATTTTAGTAAATATATCATGAATATCAACTAAAAGAAAACAAGAGAAAATTAGAACTACTCTATCCGAGTGAGAGGAGTTTTGAAGAAATCTTAACATTTTAAAATCATGTGATAGCAGTGTCATCACCTATGCTCAAATACTCTCAGCTTCGTCCTTCAGTGGCCTTCTTTTTATTAGGGTGGTCAGATCTGTTGGTAAAGTTCTAGGAAATGTGTTTTTGAGGATGCTGAGGTTTGTTAGTTTGTTTTTTGTTTGTTTGTTTTTTCCTCCCTTAGCCTGTCTCTAAAATACTGTCTTCCCCCAAACAGTGCTTTCTTTAATCTTACGTTTAAAACATTCTTTTGCATTTGCCCTCTTGTTAGAGTGCAAATCTTCTAGGAACTATGACATTTGGCATTATCTATGATTTATGACTTAGAGAGAATGAGTATCAGAGCCGTCCTAAGAGAAAACATTTAAAGGAAGGAGGAATTGGGGGAAGAAGGAAGACAGTGATTGTTTGCCCTGGTACTAAAGCTAGTAGTTCCCTGGGAAGGGGACAAGGATAAAAAACTGAGATAAAAAAAAAATGAGATCAATAAAAAGTCACTCCGCTTGACATAAACTTTTCTGAGAGACCTGCTGCTTTGTAAGCCCCTGAGTTCTAGTTATCATGGTTCAGGATAGAAATGATCCCCCCCCAATAGTATTCTTGGTTTTTTTCTGTTTCCAAGGCTACAAAATGCAAACAGCATGATCTTCTGACTCAGGAGGGCCAGACCCCGTGTTCCTACCTACTTCCTGTTCCTCCCATCTCCAGCGGATGCTGCTGTTACAAGCACAGTTCTCCGGCAGAGCTCTCAGATCACAATTTGCTGAAAAATATAAGCAAACATTGACCTTGTCTTCCACCTGTTCCTACATCTTGAAGCTTTCCTCTGCCTCCTCCATTCACTCCCCCAAGGAGGTTACCATGTATCAGCCCTAAAGGGAGAGAGAGAGGTTTACAAAGTACGTGGCTCTTCCTGTTGTTCGTGGGTTGGCCCAGTGGTAAGTCTGAGTGTGTGTGTGTGTTTACATGTATGTGTGTGAGGGGTGTGTGCATGTCACGTTTGGATGTGTATGTGTTGGTATTTGTGTTATATATGTGTGTTTAGTGTTTGTGTGTGTGTTTCTGTTGCATGTGTGAGTGCCGTTTGTGTATATGTGTGTGCTCTGTGGGTTGTGTGTGTGTGTGTATGTACATGCATATTTTTGTGATGTGATAGAAAGAGCTCTGACCAACAAATCAGGAGAACTTTGTGCCCTGTGACAAATACAGTGCTAATTGTTTGGCAAGATGCTTCTGTGAGTTTTGCTTTCTTCCTGACATGACAAGGGTGGTAATATATGCTCCATCTTCTGTGGTGGAGAAAAAAATCACAAAGTATGGCCAGTGTGTGAGGTGTTGTTTAGAGTGGGGTGTAAGGGGGAGGCACCAAGGTACCCCAGGTCCAGATCCAATCTCTGGGCCCTGCAAGGATACAGAGCAGAGTCCATAAACTTTGCCCCCAGATGCCTCATGCCCTTTAGCCCCATCCCACCCAGACATTATTTTCTGTTAAGCTGCCTGTCCATTCTCTCTAAAGGAGGAATGAGACTATGTTGGTGAAGTGCTGCCTTGGTTTCTACCAGGGTTATAAGGAAACCAGGGACAAAGAAACTGTGAGACCACTAGTTCACAGATTTTAGGATACACTGACCTCCGTTTGATAGGTGAAATACTGTGTTCTTCCCAGAATGTGACTGTCCAGATCTGAGTGAGGTTGTCCACCTACTTTCTTTATCTTCCTGGAAAGTCACTAACCCTTCCTGAGCTATCTCCTTTCCCAACCCGGCACTTTAGAGCTGACTTTTACTAAATAAAGACATCAATCATAAAGTGAGATCCACATTGGCCTCCCACCAGCCAGTTCCTGGGATTTGTCAAGAACTGGAGTATATGTGAGGTGAACAAAGTAGGACAGGCATCCCAAAATGTTGTGGCAATAAGAAAACTGTGTTGATTGAGGTGCCCCTGAGATTAGGTTTCCCCACATCCCAGTGTCTTCAACTGGGTCTGTTTTATCTGGCTATGAACATCATGCATGATCGGGCATGTAGTTTCCTCCCCAACCCACAGAGAAAATCAAGCAGATACAACACAACAGATTCTTGACACAGAGAACTGTGTTAGTCCATGAAGCCAGGATGCATTGTTCTCTCATGGCAAGGGTGGCAGGAGTTCCTGGTTGGGAATGATATGGCCCTAATATGCAAAGAGGATGAAGGATTGCTCTAAAACATGTTACAAAATGTGTTGGGATCTAATAGGGGAAAAGACCATCATGGGCATCTAGTTCAGGCCCAACATTTACATTGATGGGATGTTGAGTCCTAGGCAGATATAACTGATGGCCACATTTCCACTGAGCACTGAGGTCTCCAGCTTCCTTCTAGCCAGGCTCTACCCCGCATTGTGAAGGTCCCTGAGGCTGTCATCTTCCTCATAACAGGCCACCCAGTCAGCCCCCTGTATCCTACCTGCTGAGCCTTCTCCAGAGTCAAGTCCCAAGGCCCACCCAGCTGGCCCCTCCCAGTAACTTCCTGCTCATTCATGGCCATCAGGCACACTAGACCACAGACTAGAAACACACAGAATCATGTCACACCTACTTCTGTGCCTCTCCATCTCTTCCTTTCCCTCCTTTTCCCCCTCCTCCTCCTCACAGAACAGCTCCAGATCCTCTGCCTATCCAAATTCTTCAGATTCCAGGACTGGTGCAGCTTTCTCCATGAAATCTCCTACACTCATGATGGAGACCACAGTGGGGTGGGAGAGAGAGAGAGAGGAGGGGGGAAGGGGAGGGGAGTGGGAAAGGGAAGAGGGGAGAGGGGGAGAGAGGAAAGAAGAGGAGAGGAGGAGAAAATAGGGTCTCTAAAAAATCCCTAAAGCTGGCAGAGAGTGTCTCATTTGCTTCCTCCCCTCTCCTCACTCAGTTCTCACTCCCATCCCTAAACTACCCCAAAACAAGTCCTTCTGTCAAGAGAAAGGCAAAAATGAGGTGCCTATTGGAACCCAGGTGGAAAGTCAGTAAAGCATCTTGTTTTCTGTAGATGGAGAAAGAAGAATATGAACAGATTCCCCAGGAGGATCCTCCAGGAGAACTGTCCCAGGATCCTGAACGAGAACTGTCAGGAGGTAACATGACTCCTAGTAGAAATGGCATGGGAGAGGAGAGAGGTGCAGATGGGGAACATCTGATGTGCTGGTGGGACAGTGTTCTACCATCAAAATATGTTGGAGAGGCACCTGACATCCCCGGTCACAGAGACTTACCCACCTCAGCCACCATCACAGAACTTTGGGGGTAGTAATACTCTTATCACCAGTCAAAATGAAGGAAAAAGGCCTCCTGGTAGCTATGGTGGGCAAATGGAGGCAAGAACTAGTACCAATTACTAAATCTTTATGACAATCCCCCCCCCCCAAAGTGTCTCTACATTGTTGGTTTTCCCCCTCAGGATGAATGTGATGAGAGTGGGTGTGACTAAAAGACCTTGGACTGTGGTTTGAAAGCCAAGAGACCCTGCATGGGTGTTTGGCTGGCTCAGAAGTGAGAGCTGTCAGGGTCACAAGGTTGAAATTGCCCATGTAAACAAGCAGAATGTACTTGGCTGCTGCTTAAGATCTGGGCTTAGCTTTCTAGAAGATTTCCCTCCCACAAGAGCTATATAGCTCAGGGTCACATACTTAACTTTTGTGGGCTCAACTTTGTCTTCTAACCTGGGGAGGTGAGACAGAATTTAGAAATTCTGGAAATCCAGTCATTTCCTGGCCAGAAGAGATGATTTGTGACTCATTATGTATTTTAACATGAGTGATTTTTTGCTTTATAAACTTAAATGGACTGAGTCATCTGGGAAAGGCCATGTTAATCTGTCACACAGGGATATTATCAATAGATGTGTTAACACCTGTTTAACCTTTTTGTACAGCAATCAAATTTATACGTAAACTTTAAAAATCCTCCCCGGAGCTCAAGTGATTTATTTGGCTTTAGCTAAAGTCCACTGATGTGTGCTTATGTGTGCAGATGGGAATTAATGTCTTCTCCCACCTCTGCACTGTCTAAGTGGGCAGGGATAAATAGCCACCATCCACGCTTCCTTGAAACTCCTGCTCATTCACTCAGATTTCTTTCTAGCCACCTGGGCGAAACTGGAGGGATCCAATGTCATCTGTTCCTGGGTCAGCCAGCTGAGGGAGGCAGGTAGGCAGCAGCAAAAGCTGCTAGTACTAAGGAGATTCAAGAAAAGACCGTGCCCTTACTGCCTTCAGGAAACTTAGTGCTCTGTTATCTGAGATTCACTGATGTCTTCGGTGGGGAACAGACTTGGAAGCCAGCTATTATTTGTCCCCTCTTTATGGGTGCTCTGAGTCTAGGGACTTGCAGGTTCAGAAGAAGGGAATTCCCTTCCTACCTTCTACTCCAGTCATATCTAAAAATCTCAGTATTAGGTTCCTGGGTGTTTGGCTGGCATCTCCAAGTCTCTCTTAGTTGATATTTCTGATATTCCTCTGGGTGAGAGTGTTTAGCCACACCTGCAAGAATGTAGGCTACGGGTGGGAGCCCAGGGAAGGTTTCAGGGCAGATACTGGCCTTTGTCTCTCCTACCCAACCTATGTGAATCTGTTTCTGAGGTGCTAAAGCATTCCTAGGGACTTCTGGTGAGGATAAATAGGGTGGATGGGCCCTAACCCCAGTTTTCTCTTCTTCTCTTTTGATACTTCTAGGTCTGAGGGAGAAAGAACAAAACCCAAGAAGACTGAGGCTCATTCTTGTGGGGAAAACAGGAAGTGGGAAAAGTGCAACAGGAAATAGCATCCTTGGCAGGAAAGTATTTGAGTCTAAACTCAGTGCCAGACCTGTGACCAAGAACTTCCAGAGAGGAAGCCGACAGTGGGCTGGCAAGGAACTTGAGGTGATGGACACACCTGACATTTTGTCTCCTGAGATAGCAGCAGAGGAGGTCTGTCAAGCCATCGTCCTCTCCTCCCCAGGTCCTCATGCTGTACTCCTAGTGACACAGCTGGGCCGGTTCACAAAAGAGGACCAGCAGGTGGTCAGGCGCCTTCAGGAGGTCTTCGGAGTGGGTGTCCTGACTTACACCATCCTGGTGTTCACCCGGAAAGAAGACCTGGCAGGTGGCTCCCTGGATGACTATGTGCGAGAGACCAAGGATCAGAGCCTTGCCAGGTTGGATGTGACGTGTGAGCGGCGCCACTGCGCCTTCAATAACAGGGCTGATAGGGAGGAGCAGGAGACGCAACTGCAGGAGCTCATGAAGAAAGTCGAAATAATCCTGTGGGAAAATGAAGGCCGTTATTACAGCAACAAGTCTTACCAATATACCCAGCAAAGCTCTCTGCTTAAAGAAGTGCAGGAAAAACAAATACTCCAGGGGCAAGGATCTGAGGAAATGCTCAGCAAAGAGTCCTGGCTGGAAGGGCTATTGCAGATCCAAAAGGAATCTGAGAAAACCCACCAATGCCTTCTGGGGAGGTTTGACTTTTTAAGCCCATGCTAGGCTTGAGCCAGTGGTTCCCTCAGCCCCTGCTCCACATGTCCGCCCCCTGGTTGCTTGCATTCTCATCCCATGGAGCACTGCTCTGTCTCCAGGTCATAGCGCCTGGTGTGGTGAGAGAAATGTGGGGCTGAAGGCCCAGGTCCAGAGTGCCCAGATCACAGCTCAGGTCCTTCATTCCTTCTTCCAGAACATGCGACTTCTTCTTCCTTTATGCCCCAACAGCATTCTGTCTATGAGAGCTTCCATCTCATTGGCATTACATTTCCTAGGATACTTGTCTGTACCCTCATAGAACCAAAGCTCCTTGAGGGCAGGCCTTTGTCTTTTCCTTCCATGGAACTCCCACAGCTTCCTGACCATTGAAGCCAAGCTGTCTGGGTTGGTGCAGCAACTCTGTGTGAACCATTGGTCAGATGACTTCACATCTCTCGTTCTGGCCCCATGAAGAGGGCAGGTGTAATGACTGTGAAGTCACCTGTTGTCTGGTGGGTAGACATGACAGTGACTCTGAGACACGGGGAGACGGATGGATACTGGGCTGGGAGAAGACAGACCGAGAAAAGGAAAAGAGGCTGAAGGGGGCATGCTTTTAGTTACTCTTGAAGCATAACAAACAAGTCCCATGGGAACTTCCTAGTGGGAATGATGAGTAAAGGCAGGGATAGGGTATCCAAGAAGCCAGGCCCTGCTCAAGAAGTGCAACCTAGCCCTTGTGACAGTATATCGAGGGCTCTAGAGGTTCCTGGAGAGAATGGGCAGAGGAAGCCAGCACACACCATAGGGCCACCAAAGTATACTTAGCTTAGGGAAGGAATGCATGTTACTTTCTCTTATCCCCTGGCTTTCATGACCCAGTCATGATCTCTACCTTATAAAGGCTACTTTCAACCTGCCTCAGCCTTACCTGCAGCCTCTTCCTTCTCCCTTGGTAGCGGGGAGAGTGTGGATAGGACGAACATCTAAGTGTGCAAATGGGTTCCCCAGCAAGGTGTTTGTGTGAATTGAGTGGAAGGAGACAAGGAAGAAAGGGGACCTTCAAAGGAGGCAATTACGTGACTTAAACATTTTGTGGGGAATCCTATCTGGTTTATGCAAGAACAGTTGTTTCCCTGGAAGGCTGTTCTTATATATAGGGCTTATAAGAAGTGATACTAGACAGAACAAGAAGGGAACAGGATGTTGGCCTGACTCAGGCCTCAGATAGGAAGCTGTCTGCCCAGGAGACTGACACACCTCAGAATCACTGCAACTTCTTTGAGGTTCAAGATGTTTGTGGAGAGTTTAATTAACTGATTGGAAGAGACTGGGATGAGACATGGAAAACGCTTCCCTATCCCTTTCTTCAAGCTGTGTGGCAGAGGGTCCTTAGCTACTTTCTCCTGGGTGTGAAGTAGAGGTGGTGGTGACTGTGCTGGCCGACAACCAGAAATTGCAGGACACAGCCTCAGGTCTGATTGGATGCTTGGCAGCTGTAAGAGAGTCTAGACACTCCAAACCTGCAGCCTCCCACTCTGAAGCCTGTCACATGTCTTGCCAGACACAGCCAATTCCTAAGAAAACTCTTTTTTTCTGAAAGATTTAGAAAAGTTTCTCAAAGCAGATAGAGACTTATTTGGGCATACGCACAAGATAGCCTTTGTGCCACAACCATTCATTAAATAAGTGATCAATTTCCCACTGAACTGGAAATACAACATCATGTATTCTTTCTCATACTCCCTAAGATTTATGTCAGAATTTTCATTTTTGTTTATGACTTCTACTTTTCTACACTTATGTAAAAAAAAAAATTGATTTGATGACAGTGGCTTTGATATAATGTGGTAGGCCAACTTTCTCCTCAGTCTACATCTTTATATTTTTTCTCAAGCATTTATTCTTCTATGTGATCATTAAAATAATTTCCTAAAAATAATTCTATTGGTATTCTACTTGGACTTATTTTTAGTTGGGTATTCATATGTTAAGTTTGAGGGAATTGGTAACTACTTCAACTATAAGTTAATTAAGGTCATTTTTTCCCCTAAGTGAACAGACTTGAAAAATCAGAGTTATTAAAATTAAAATTATTTTCATTCTTATTAAGATAGGAGATAACTTTTAATTGTAATGTCATTGTTTTAACTCTATTACTTTACTTAATTTCATAATAGAAAATGCAAGCATTTGTTGGACCAAATGTGATTCATTCAGTTATTAAATGGCAAGGCACTCAAAGCATGTCATATATTAAAAGTATTTTAATTACCCCAAATATCATCTTTGTTCTCTTTCATTACTAATATTGGGAAAGATGCCTCCCACAACTTTTCAGGAAGAGGGATAGGTATTGCTGCATAATTATCACTCTCTCTGCCACAGAGAAGAATGGAGAAGGCATGTGTGGGGATGTTCTAGAAACTCTGTGACCTGTGTACCAGTATGAAAGATGGGAGGGGGGCGGAGTAATGAGAAAGGGCTGTCTTGGTCAAGGCTGTAACAATAGTAACCTTCAAGCTGGGCTCGGTGGCTCAGCCTGTAATCCTGCACCTTTGGGAGGCTGAGGTGAGCGAATTGCCTGAGCCCGTGGGTTCCGAGACCCGCCTGGGCAACTTAGTGAGACCTCATCTCTACAATAAATAAACAAAAAAAATTAGCTGGGCGTGGTAGCGCGCACCTGTAGTTCCGGTTACTTAGAAGGCTGAGGCAGAAGAATCGCAGAAGCCCAGCAAGTCGAGGCTGCGGTGGCCGGGAGCGGCCACTGCACTCCAGTCTGGGCGACAGAGTGAGACTCCAACTCAAAAACAAAAACAAAAAAAACAATAGTAACCTTCAGAATTTGTTATTTTCTAAAAATATCTCTACATTGAAATGAAGGATGAAGAACAGGGACTTGGATCATTTGAATCAGTACAGGGGTTTTATTTTCCTCCTTTGTGGGCAAAAGTGAATGTGAAGAGTCACAAGGAAGTTTTCCAATCGCCAACCTTTCTTGGATAACATGTATAAGCTATATAGAAAATACAAAATAATAATACTAAAAAATAACTTTGAAGTCACCAGGAAGTGACCAAATGCAAGTAGACATCAGTAGAGAATTTGGCCCCTAAGATAAGGGACCACACTGGTCCCACCTTGATGTGGCTTTTTGCCTCAAGGTACTACTCAGACATGGGGATGCAGGGATCCACTCGCCAGACATTCACAGTGGCCTGAAGAGTGAGAGGGTGGAATATGGAGCAACCGGACAGGTAGAAATTGATGGGGGACTCCCTAAAAGAAAAGAGCTATGTAGTGGGGTGTGGGGTGAGGGGACACTAAAAATTTGGCATTCGAATTCTTCAAATCCTTGGCTGACCCTGACCTGTACAATCACAAGGCAATCTCCAAAGGGTCAAGCAGAAAACTTCTCTGGAAACAGAGAGCTGCTCAGAAACATCAGCAGGTGCCCACAGCAGCAAAGAGAATTTCAAGTTTCAATTCACCAAGTTAGAAGGTCTTGGTAAACTTAGAGCTTTCCACCAAGCTACCAAAATGGTCATATTTTTGGAGTAAGAACGATGTCTCAGAACTCACAGATTTGCCCTAAAAGGTAGAGTAAAATTAAAGCAGACCTTTGCTGATGGTGTCTAAAGCCAGGCCTCTCCAAGGCAAAAGTGATCTGCCAGTAATTTAAGTGCCTGTTAGAACAAGCTCAGTAGTCTGCAAAAATAATAATATCCAGAATATAAAGCTATATAATTTTCTTCCATGCATGTTTATCCATATCTCACAAATTTTTATATATTCTGTTTTCACTATCATTCAGTTTAACATAGTTTCTGTATTCCTTGTGATGTCTTTCTTCATTCATAGATTATGCAAAAATGTGTGTTTAAATTCCACATGCTAGCCGGGCTCAGCCTGTAATCCCGCGCCTTGGGAGGCTGAGGTGAGTGAATTGCCTGAGCCTGAGGATTTGAGACCCGCTTGGGCAACTTGGTGAGACCTCATCTCTACAATAAGTCAAAAATTAGCCGGGCGTGGTAGCGCGCGCCTGTAGTTCCAGCTACTTGGAAGGCTGAGGCGGAAGGATTGCCGAAGCTCAGCAGGTCGAAGCTGCGGTGGCCGGAAGTGGCCACTGCACTCTGGGCGACAGAATGAGACTCCAACTCAAAAAAAAATTCCACATGCTTGATTATTTTCTACAAACTACAGTATCCAATGAGCGAGAGTCATTATGAACAGGTGGCTATTGAGCACTTGATAAGTGGGGGTGCACCTGAAGAACATGCATTTTAGTTTTATTTAGTTATAATTAGTTCTAATTTAAATTTTAAAACAGTGTAAAATACTTTACCATGAAACATAACTTTAGTGGACCCTGAACATACTATAAGAAAGAGATGGCAGTAGTGGGACACTACCGGCGGAGGGAGGGGGAGCACAACATCAATAAGGGTAACTGATTCCAACCCAGGTGAAGTGAGAACCAAAAGGAGGCCCAGACTTCACCTGCATGATGACCACTTGGGTACCTAATCTTGAGTTGTACCCTACATCTTTAAAGTAATAATAAAAAAAGAAGCACAATTATTTCCGTTTTGGTGGAAATGCATTTTACTCTGTTACATCATTAAAGATATTATGGATGGTGCCTAGCTTATAATGGTTGGACTTATGATTTTTCAGCTTTACAATGATGTGAGAGTGATATGTGTAAAGTTGAGAGAAGTACCATACTCTCTCGTGATGCTAGTCAACAGCAGAGAGCTACCACTTCCAGGGAGCCACGTGATTACTAGGATAAACAACCTATGCTCTGCAATGCACTGTGTTGCTAAGCTGGGATGTATGGTGATGTTATGCATCTTTTACTTACTTACAATACTTACAAGTACTTACAGTACTTACAATACTTCAATTTGTGATGACTTTATTGGGGTATATTCCCACTGTAAGTCAAGGAGCACTTGTATTGTTGTATCACACTGCAAATGTATTGCCACAAGTTGTTTTTAGCATTGCATGCAAACACCATCACTGATCTGTTCAGTGTCAAAGGACTGACTCTGTTTGAATTATATTTTAAGCAGTGATATAACATTTTTATCAGGATAGTTTATGTAGTCAGCATGAGTTACAATTATACTTAACTATATTGTAATTAAAATTAAATACTGGT